ATTTTTGTGATAATTGCTTAATAGTGGCTGTCTTTCAGGCAGTTGATTCAGATTCACCTGTCTCTGGGGCAATTAGTTTGATGCTGGAATGTCACTTATGTGAGTTAGGTATCTCCATCTCGAGTGAATCTCTCCAGTTTCTCTCAGAACACCTCTCTCTCTCTTTCTCTCTCTCCCCCCGTGTGTGTGTGTGGGATTGGTGGGATTTTCAGGTCCTATTGCCCTTCTTCCTTGAGGTAACAACAGTTCCTCTCTACCATAGGAACCGAGTGGGCATTGTAGGGCAAGGAAAGCCCAAAGCAAACCCATAATTTACCCTGATGATGGTGACAGCCTGTTTATTCACCAGCAACTAACTCCCTTAGGCCCTGGTGAGCCCTAAGCCGACGGCCTCTGACATTCTCATCTGGTGTTGGCTCACCTCTTGGTTTCCAGTTGTGGTGGTCCTGGCAAGCCTGATCCACACATCTGCCCTGGCCTCCATAGACAGCTGTGTGGCTGGTGGATTCATTCCCTGTCCTCCTCAGCTCTGAAGATTTGCAAGGCTAGAATAAAAACAATGGTGGCCCTCTTCAGGAGCCCATGTGGTCTCTCCTCTGCTCCTTTTGCCCGACTTGTATGCACTGGCAGGTGAGGTCAGCACGCCCTTGAGAGGCAAAGGTTCAAGCTAGACACCGATTTCCTTCCCCTTCATGTCTCACTGAGGAGTCTGTGGCTCCACAAACGTCCTGACACCAGGCCCTCAGGAAGGGGCTCTGGCCAGCTTGAGCATGGTGGGCATGGCTCCGGCAGGCCTTGCCCCTTTCTTCCATGCCCTCTGCCTTGCTAAAACCCCTTAGATTACTCCTAAAGCTGGGCACCAAGGCCTGTTCCCTTATTTGGCTACTTCCTCTTGCTGAGGCTGACTATCATGGTCCAGCAATCAACGCATTGGAGTCCAGCAATCAAAAGCCTCTTTGGGTCACCTAATTAACATGCCCGATTAAAATTAAACACCTTATCTTGACACAGGGTTTCCTCTTGTGTCGTTATAAACTGCCGTTTTCCTATGGGCCACGTCTGTCTCCTCTCTACCCAGAGGCAGTCCTTTTTCCCTTTCTGGGACAAATATCCTTTCTCCCCCTCCCCTGTTCCCTTCCCCTCCTCCTTGGTCCTCTGTCTCCTGTGTTTGTCTCTTATTTTCTGCCCTCTGTCCCTTTGGGCAAATACATCTCGTTGGTGCTGAGAACTTAGCCCAGGGGGTCCTGAGCCAATACTTACCCTTTCACCTCAGGGTATCATTGGTTTACCAAATGGTTCTCTCTCCCTTTAACTTCACAACCCACATGGTGCTCGGGAAAGTCCCAGTTGTTTCTCTAGACTGCTCCAAAGGGCTGGAACTTAAAAAAGCTGTAGATAGAGTTTCTGTTCTGCTAAGTCCCATAGCCGTTTAGACTCAAATAAACACACAGAGGCTTATATTAATTATAAACTGTTTGGCCAATGGCTCAGGCTTTTTATTGTCTAGCTCTCTCTTAACTATTAACCTGTTTTAATTAATCTATGTATTTCCATGTGGTTTTGCCATATTGGAGAATGCCCAAACCTGTTGTTAACTCCTTTGGCGGCTACATGGCGTCTCTTGGTGGTTCCTCTCTGAGTCCTCTCTTCCAGAATTCTCCTTGTCTGGTAATCCCACATATACATTCTGCCTGGCTACTGCCAATCAGTGTTTTGTTCATCAATCAAGAAAAGAAACATATATACAGAAGGACATTCCCCCATCAAAAAGCACTCTGTCTGTTACAGGGTTACTAAAATTAGGAGGGAAAGGCTGTAACAGAATGGCCAGGTCTGCTCCTTCCCTGGCACAGGTCGAGGACTGACAGGTATGTAAGACACAGACTGACTCATGTCTGGGTCTTCTTTACCCACCGGTGCCCCCTCCAGTTTCTCCGTGCTCTCCAATTTCTCTGCATTTAGGGGCACAAATTCTTGTTCTTTCTTCTCACGTTGCTTTTTATGTGTGTTTACCTGAGTGACAGCGTTTTAATTTAAACTGGAGAATCAGTACCTTTCATCTGTGCTGTGGACAATTTCTAACAGTTGTTCTCAGTCCTGGGAGAGCATCAATATTACCCAGAGAGCTTTCCAAATATAAATTAAATTAGATTATCTGAAGTGTGAACCCAGATAAAAATTGATGCAAAGTCCCTCATTCGGTCTTCTCTCTGGATGCTTGGGACCAGTGCTTTCGAAACATGAGTGACAAAGGGGACAGGGGGAACAGAGCAAACACATGAATGAATACCACAAAATGCAGAAGGCCAGGCACAGACAGGTGAAGGAACTTCCATTAGGCAGTTTTCAGGGGGGGAATCCAACAGCACCACACAGCTCTCATTCCCTCTCTATTTATTAGTCACAATGTTTTGCCTGTCTTTCCCACTGTTTCATCTCATTTCTCTTCTCCACACACATGGATGGACACCCTCAGCACTAGACATTGTTAGTGGCCCAGAGCAGCTTCCGGCCAGTTCTCCTTCCCTTTGGACACCGATGCTGTCCATGTCATCATTGCCTCTTCAGACTGACCCTCTCAGAGTGATCCAGAGTTCATTCACGCAGACTCACACCCGAATGCTGTTCTCCATGTGTAGCCACTAAAAGATGAGGAGCATGAGAGATGACGTGACCATTTGCTTAAGCTTTCGAGAAGCCTCGAACTCCATGGCCAGTCATAAGAGGGAATGAAAAGGAAGGATTTGGACTGTCAGCCTCTTACATGCTGACCTGAGTAATATTCTCTCAGCTAAGTCACAGTTTTGTGGTGCTGTGATTTGAACGTAAAATGGTCTCTTGTACTTCATGTGTTTGAACTCGTTCTCTCCAGCTGGTAGTGCTGATTTGCAAGTCTGTGCAATCTTTGAGGGGAGGGGCTTAGACTGGAGGAACGGAGTGGGGAAGGCAAGCCTTGTTGGCTATGGCCAAGCCACATATGATAGACTCACCCTTGCTGTCCTCCTCCCTGACTTTCTGTTGAAATGTAAACAGGCAGCCTCACCCTTCTGGTACAGCCATATATACACCCCTGTCTCTGCCATCACAGAATGTGTCCCCTCACACCTTGAGACAAAAGGAAGATCTTGTCTCTTAAGTTGCTTCTTGTCTGGTATGCGGTCACAGTGGCAATACTGGTAACAAACACAGGGGTGACACAACTTATTTGGATAATTTGTCATGCTTCAAGATTAAAACGAGTTTCCCCTCGAGGGTCTGACTTGAGAGGTCTTTAGCAGTGAACTCGGGCATACTGGGCTAGCCTTGCAGGTCGCTGAGCACCTCACATGGCTTCATGAAGGATCTGTTCATCCTTTCTTCTCAATAGATCATGAACCCTTTGAAAGGGATGGAGAAAATGATGCCTTTCAATTTGTTGCCTTGGAACCTGGCCAGATCCTTGGCGTAAAGAATGAATGCCAAGTCTTATGATCATTAAAAAAAAAAATTACCAAAATGTTAAGGGGGCAGTAGCATAAAGTTTTAGCAATGAGTCAGAGTTCAGATGGCGGTAGATGACTTAAGCAAAAACGTCAGGATCTACTTTTAGCTCATTTTAACAGCTGCAACTCAACTATATATAACCCGATGTTTAATTTCCAGGATTAAGAAGACCAACTGGATAGACTCTAAAAGTGATTTAATTACCCAGTTGCCACTTTGGACCTGCCTGGTCATTGTCACCAAAAGTCCCTAGGGTAAATGTCATGAAAATGGTTATATGCCAATGAGATCCTCAACACAAAACTGAGAAAAACAAAACAAACACTGACATGTTTGTGTACAAGTCAAGAAGCCATCAGTATCCCTCCCTCCCTCCTGCTCCCCCCAAGGAAAAGTACACGATTCCATTCATATTTACTAGGCTGGAACTTTGAGAGTAACTTGGATGCGGATAAAATAAGACTTACTGCTGACTTATTGACTATCTTTCCTGAGTTATAAATCTGCTTGAGGCTCTTTGGCAGGAGGAATCATGGGAGATTTAATACAATAACCACTTACAATCTCTCCAGACTTCCTCATTAGTTTATTAAAGAAAGAGAAAGACACTCTCTCACACGAAAGCGCAAACTATTCAAGACTAAGCATAAGAAAATGCTAGCTTGAATTTCACAGAAGTTTGTGAAGCGTTGAGAAAAGGGACGATTCCTGGGGTATAGACTGGGAGAGGTCCCACTCTGTCAGCTTTCCAGTCACATCCTCAGACAAGCCTTGGTCTGGGACTGAAGTTTGAGTCTTCTCTGAAAAGACTCCCCAACCAATCCAGCGGCACAGCCATCCAGACGAGGGTCTGGATACCAAGGCCAATGTCCCGTCAATGTCTTAGGCCCGTGCTTCTCTGCTTCTCACTCAGATTTGTTTTAACATCGAACCTCCCTTATTTCAGTACTTGTTTTGTCTTCTGGAGTCACAAACAAAAGTCTCAGAGTATTACAGTCCCTCCCATCAGGAAGCCGGATAGGACTGCTCAACCTTGTGATTTCAGCTCTCATTTGCTGCTTTTCGTTCTGACTTCTGCGTGAGGCTGGATCCATGCACAACACCCCTAAGTGCCATAGGGTGCGCTGAACTTCACAGCGGAAGCGCACACATTACATAACCTCAATACACTGCCTTTTGGCCGGAGTTACGTTGCTGTGTGCTCAGTGTTGAATGAACCAATGCCATCAAGCAAGGCTTCTTTAAACAGGCATATAAAAATAAAGTTACATAATGGTCACTTGAGAAAAATATGGTGCCGGGATTCCTAACAACCTAACACTACTATCTCCACCAGGATCAATGGCTCAGCATTGTACCCCTACAACCTTTACCTTCCTCTGGCCAAGGCATTTGATTGCCTGCCACTGGGCCAAATTGCCTGTCAGGGCATTCTGGAGCTGGAGGGGAAGCCTCCCGCTAGGTGCGCCGAGCGGCCGGCAGGTGGCGCCCGACCTGTTGTTCTTGGCATCGCTTGCTCGGTGGACCAGGTGGACTGGAAGGGGCGGAGGTAACCAGCAGTGGCCAGTGGTGGCTGCCTGCAGTCCCCCGCCCCCTCCACGCAGAGCTCGCCACACGCTCGCCCGGAGAGGGCCGGAGAGCGGCGGGGCCAGCTGTCTTCCGAGCTCGGGCACCGCTGCCATCTGCTCCACGAGGCGTCCGCCTGTCCCCCCGCCGCTCTCAGCTCCACGTCGGCCACCATGGAGGCGCAGGCACAAGGTGGGTGCTCGCCCGTCGCCCCCGAGGTCTAGTCCTGAGATGCACAGGGACTTTCTCTGCCTGTATTAGCTAACTTTACTCCTGGACGGACAGGGACATCCTACGTGTACGGAACTCCGCGCCTACGCGCGCCTTCGGGATCACGCTTGCATCCCTAGCCTAACTCGGAATTTGCGGTGGGTCTGGGGACCGGGGAAGGGGCTTGAGACACGGAAACGGAGTGTCCCTCCTGTAGGGATTGTGTCCCTGTCTGCCCGACCCCTTCCCGCAGTCGGTTGCCCCAACTTCTTCACCATGGAGGGTGCCAAAAGGACCTGTTGTGCAGGCTCCGGATCGTTTCGGTCGCCTCCCCCGGGGAGCGGGATCCTTGGGATTCCCGCCGTGGGTTTGCGTTGTTCGGTTCACTAGTGCGGGCGAGGGGTGACGCGGACGCGCGGTAAGGTGGTGGCTCTGTGGAGCCCCTGTGTCCCTACCATGCAAGGGCTGAGGCAGGGGGATTGGCCTTTACAAGCACCCTCCTGACCTCCAGATTGATAACTGTATCCTGCTTTTCCGCGGTTAGGGATAGGTTTCTACCTCCCCAGCTCCATCAGGTGCCGGTCTCCTGCTCTGTGCTCCGGGTGTCCGCTGGAGGAGTCCAGAGAACTCTATCGGACTGTTCAAGAATAAGAGTAAAGGATCAGAGGTGGCCAGATGTGGAGCGAGGGGGCAGGGAGGAAGAAAGCACCCAGGAGTCCACTTTGGAATGAACACTCAGAAAGAATGGGTTGCCTTAGTGCCATTGGGACCCCGGTTCTTCGGTTCTTCACACTAAGAAATTCTGTGATTCCTTTTAAATACAAAGTCAAAAAAAAAAAAAAAAAAAAAAAAAAAAAAAAAAAGTAATGCGGTTCATGACCTCATACACTTGTGTTCTAGGGGCAAAAGCAGTTTGGCAGTGTTTAGGTCTGGAGTCATTGAGCCAGTTTGCTGCCAGGATCACTGTAGTCTGAACAGCACGATCCATACTCCTCATTAGTTCTATCAGCCAGGATGCTGCAGCTTCCAGTACCCTGCCCCCCCCCCAAACTGCCCATTATCTTAATAGGACATTCTTTAATTCCTATTAAGCCGGTCCACGATCCTGGGAGTGGGGGGAATTGTAAGGTTCACTGCAAGAGTCTTGTAATGGGAGAGTTTGGGCTCAACCCTCCAAAGCATGAACAAGTGGGATGTACAGCCAGTGGGCAATGTGGGATGAGTGGATGCTGAGTTACTTGGGGAAGCATCAGGAAGGTGTGACAGGATTCTGCCAAATTGCTTCTGGACTAACGAGATTCTTCCTTGAGGCAGGCCACGTGATCAGTCATGAGGTGGGGTGGGAGGGCCCCGTGGAGGATGAGGAAGCTGCCCAGACACTGAAGATGAGCGGGTGTTGAGGCTAAACAGAGTTCTTCGAGGAGATTTGCACGTAACTGAAGCGTACAGATGGTCCTTCTAGACGGTTCTTGCTGACTTAGGCAAGCAGAAGGTGCTGGTTGTTCGTCAAATTCCGAAGCAGGGATCCCAGTGGACTCCTTTGTGCCTGAACCAAAGCAGACGCTGACAGTATTAGAGCTTTCCAACACGGCTTTCAGATTAGAATGCATGTATCTCTAAGTATTGATGGAAACTTAGCTCCTGGGCCCTCCTAAAGATACCAGAATCTGTGCTGGAGAGATGGCTCAGGGTTAAGAACCTAAGTTTGTCCTGTACCTATGCCCACATCGGTGGCTCACAACTGCTTGTAACTCCAGCTCCAGGAGAATCAGATGCCCTCTCCTGGGCTCTGTGGGCAACACACACACACAAACATACATGCTCAAATCTGTTTTACATCTGCATAATACTCTTAAACATCTCCTGTATACTTCAGTTGTCTCCAGATCATTCATAAAACTGATCCAACCAATTGTCACGAAAATTACTATAATAGTATATTATTAATATACATGTATATTGGTGACTGGCAAAAGGTCTATACATGCTCAGGTATTATTTATCTGGATACATGCAGATAAATCCAAATTTGAAGAACCCATTAATATGGGCCAAGTGGACTGGGCTGATCCCATATCAGTCACTGTGGAGTCTCTGGAGCCTTATTATGTGTATGCTTGAAAGCTATCCAAGTAATTCTATTATTCTATAAGGTAGGGAAAGAATTATATTCATTAAAAGCATCAACCGAAATTCTGAAGCCATCTGAAATGGTAGACTGAGAACTACTGATGCTACTAGCTTGCTATATGTGTGAGCAAGTACTTTGCAGTTTTCTTTTTCCAAACACAATATCGGGAAGAAGATACCCAGAATTGATTTCTGCTTCATACAATTTATGGTAGAGGATGAGATGGTCATTAATCTGGCACTTACTTCACAAACTAAATTGTAAGATCTCCACATACTGATGACAGTAAAATGGGCCACCTAGTGTGATGAGAACATAAACTTTAGGTCTACTTGTCAATAGTCAAAAAGCTCAGGCTGTTTCTTTTGTCTTCTCAATGTTTTATATGCACTGACCATATACATAGCGCCTAAGGAGGTAGGTAGAATTGCCATTCCCATTCTGCAGAGGAGATACTCAGAAGCTAGATTCCTTGTTTATGGATAAACAGGCAAGGAGTGACAAAATTGTTGTGAGTGCCCATCACACTCAAACCCTGGCCTTTGGAAGGAAAGCTAAGACCCAAGTCTTAACTGCCTCTTCACTGCCGGATGATACTCTCCCCTCTGCCTTCCTGGCTGGATGGAACTGAGCAGAACACTAAATGGGTGTTTGCTCTTATATTCTAAAATAGTCCTGTGATTTCCAATGTGTGGTTTATCTTAGAATTTTCTGGACTGGAGATGGTTTGTCTTCCTTTCCATTTTCTCTTTCTGCCTTTAAATCTAGAGGAAAGCAAACAGCGGCTACAGCCCCTTGCTGCACACATGTGTTATGGATGTGGGTTGCCCATGTAGCTCCGAAATGCATAAGCAAGTCTTTGGAAGTCTCGTGGGAGTGAAATTCTCCAAAACGTGTTCATTGGCTTTGTGAAAGGGTAAATTACTTCCTGAAAAACAGGAAGACACGCTAGAGTTGGCAGGGGGATTATGTGTGGGCGATTTTGTGGGAAGGGGCTGTGGAGCAGAGCGAAATGGGAAACCCTCGGGGACTCAGCACTCTTGGCTGCTTTTTCCTGGTTCTGGAGAATTTGCCTTCAAGTATTTGATACATAGTCTCTGACCGTGTTTCCCCTTCACGAAAGTGTGAAAGAGATGGCTTTTCGTGACTGTATCAAAGTTTGAATTTTGATCTCAGACTTCTGATTGAGTACTTGCCGTGGGCTCAATATGACTTGTCTCCCTGCCGCCTCGTGTGTTGAAGGCTTGATTTTTCTATGGTGTTTGCTTTTATTGAGAGGTGGATCAACATGAAGCCTAGCCAATGTGTCAGTCTGCTGATGGGTTCATATTTGCTGGCAGGACTGGGAGTTAGTGGGAAGTGGGACACCCGGATAAGGAAGTGGGTCCTTGAGACTTTTCTAGTGTCTGGAATCCTGCTTTGCTGTCTGCTTGCAATGAGGAAAGCAACTGTGTTCTGCTGGTGTTCCAACTGCCATGGCATTCTGCCCCCTTACGGTCCAACAGCAATACAGATGGAAGTTGCTGAAATCATGAACCCAAATAACCTTTTTCAAGACACAGATTGTTTTCTCAAAGTATTTTGTCATAGCAAAGAGTGCTAACTGGCCCATAGTATTCTATTACTAGACCATGGCAGCCAGCCTCAATTTCTAGTCAATCACTTGACAAAGGAAACAGCTGACACTCTGCAGGGAGCAATTTTTGCTGAGCTATGATGTGTAATAGTTGAAATGGCTTCAAATTCTCCTCATCAAATGGTGTTTTCAATTTATGATGTCCGCATTGGGGCAGAACGCCATGGTTAAACTGAGAAACATCTGGAGTAAGAAACATTAGTAATGTAGTATCCTCCCGAAACATGCGGCAGCCATTTCCAATGGAAGTTCCTGGTCCTTTCAGCTGTATCTTAATGTTTTACTGCATCTCTGGTTCTGAGGTCACACAGCCTCTCCCATCCTGACTATGATGAGTCTCTGCCTGCCTCTGACAAAAAAAAAAAAAAAAAAAAAAAAAAACGGGATTGTGTTAAAGGCCTGCCTGCCCAAATCTGGCTAAACTGCACAACTAAGAGCCTCAAATTAACCAATCTATAATGATAACCTTTTCATGTAAATTAATATTCAAGGGTTCCAGGGTTTAGGATTTGGTGTCTATTACATAGCCTACTGCAATAACTCCTTTTTCTAATCAGACATTTAACGGGAGAATTTCTAAAAGCCCATAAATGACACAAAGTTAACAATTGCTGGATTATTCCTACCTGTTTGCAAATCCTATTACATTGACAATGCCATATTGACTTATATTGCACTTTGCTCAAGACTCTTGTTCCAGAAAGGACTTACAAAAACAGATTAGATGGACATACAAATAAAACATAAGTCAATATAAAACTGAAATGGATGAAAGGGAAAGCAGGATAGAAACAGAAAAGGAGACTAGGAATGATGACCTGTGAAATGTACTCAATTGTGTAGTTTTTACTCTACAGGAAGTGAACTCTTCTTTATAACATTCATTTACTTTAGATGGATGTGAGCACATGTGCCATACACACAGTTTTCAGGAGTTGGTTCCCTCCTTCGACCGTGGGGTTCCCAGGGATTGAACTCAGGTCATCAGGCTTGGTTGCAAGCACCTTCCTTTGTTCACTAGCCATCTAACTAGCTCTTCCAAAAGTGAGGACTTGCTCCTATACAAAATAAGCCATTTTGTTACAAAATAAGATTCTTCCTTTCCTGTCAAATTGCAACAGACTCCTCTATGATTAGATTACTTTAGGAGAAACTTTATATTTTGTTCAAAAATTTTATTTCATTTCAGGCAATATAATAAACTTAGCACAATGG